CTTCCTCCAGGAAGCGGCGATTTTAATTTCTCTCCCCTCCACTGCTCCCAGCTGACACCCCAGATGCTGCTGCTGCCGCCTCGGCCGCCCCACCCTCGGTCCTCCTCCCCAGAGGCCATGGACCCACCGCCCCCCAAGGCTCCCCCTTTCCCCAAGACGGAAGGCCCTTCCTCCACTCCATCCTCGGCGGCAGGGCCCCGACCCCCGCGGCTCGGCCGCCACCTGCTCATCGACGCCAACGGGGTCCCCTACACTTACACGGTGCAGCTGGAGGAGGAGCCCCGGGGCCCGCCCCAGCGCGAGGCGGCGCCGGGAGAACCCGGCCCGCGCAAGGGCTACAGCTGCCCGGAGTGCGCTCGTGTCTTTGCCAGCCCTCTGCGGCTGCAGAGCCACCGCGTGTCGCACTCGGACCTCAAGCCCTTCACGTGTGGCGCCTGTGGCAAGGCCTTCAAGCGCTCCAGCCACCTGTCGCGGCACCGCGCCACGCACCGCGCGCGCGCAGGCCCGCCGCACACCTGCCCGCTGTGCCCGCGCCGCTTCCAGGACGCCGCGGAGCTGGCGCAGCACGTGCGCCTGCACTGAGGCCCCGACCCGGGCCCCCGGGCCTCGCGAGCCACACAGCGTCGCTCCCACACACGCTCCCTGCCTCTCTGAGGTTACTGCCTTACCCTGGGCCTCAGTTTCTCCATCTGTCCAAGGGGAGAAACACCGTTCCTTCCTTACCTTCCTGTCTAGCTGTGTGATGTAGACCAAGTCGTTGCCCCTCCCTGGGCCTGGGAACCAGCCTCTGAGCTGGGTTCCGGCCCAGCTGTGCTGTGTGAGCCTCTGCAAGTGACGCGACCTCTCTGAGGCTTGGGCTTCCGCTCCTCCGAGGCGGTGAACGGTTGTCTGCGCGGAAGATTTGACAAAAGAGCACGGCGCGGTCTGGCTCGTTTCTGTATATCCTCCTTCCCACCCACAACCCTCACCCCTTACTCAATAAACATTCCACACTCCACTTTAGGGCTTTTATTTGCGTGTGTGTGTGTGGAGGGGCGGCGGGTGGGCGGCAGGGTGGGAGGGGGCGGCCCGGACCGTTAGCACCCGGGAACCTTCCTCTCGGCGTGTGTTTCTGGCCGGATCCGTTTCCCGAAGGCCCAGGCGCCCCGCCCCCACCTTCCTCCCCTGGACCCTCTTCTCTGGGCCCCGGTCCTCTCTCCTGTTACCGGTGCTACCAGCTCCCGGGGGACACCCAGAGGCGCCCGCCCCGCCATCACTTGCGACCACGGGGGTAGCCCGGGGCCGTTCCGGAGTCGCCCGGACCCGAGAGGCTGCTGCACCGGGTACGGGGGCCGGGAGGCGGGAGGGAGCAGGGAGCGGGCCTCGGAGAGGGGCGGGGCCAGGAGCGGGGACCTGTGCGCCGAACGGGGCGGGGCCGCCGCGGGGGCTCGGGAGGGCACGGCCGCGAGCTCTCCGAGAAAGGCTCGGAGGCCGGGCCGCGGGTCGGGGGGTGGAGCCCTAGAGAGCGCTGGGATCTAGAGAGAACCGGGGGGGGGGGGGGGGGGGCAGGGGGGGGGCGGGGACTGGAGAGAATCTGCCGGTAGCCGAGCTAGGAAGGGGGGCTCAGGGGTGTCCAGGGAGGTTGTTGGACGGTGGGTCAGGACCTGGGGGCCTTAGAGCTTAGGCGAATACAGAATGGGTAGAAAACACTCCTGGGCGGAGTGATAGGATGGGCTAACACCCAGACCTGGGTCAGGAGCGTAGAGAAGGAGAGACCTGCCGGTCTACGGGGTGGGGGGTGGGGGGTAGTAGAGAAGCCCTGCTGGTGGCCAGAGTAGAGGGGCACCTAGTGACCGGAGGAGGGTACGACTAGGGAAGTTAGAACGAGGACCTGCTTGTGCCTGTGTTTACAGTGGGTGATGGAACAGGACAGAAGAGGCTTTCCTGCGACGGAGACGGTAGAAGGTTCACAGAAGGTGGTAGAGTCCAGGGCAGAAGGACTGGAGAAGTGACGGAGGTTGGGGGGTGCAGACGTTCTGGGCAGGGCACACAGAAGGTGAAGGAACGGAGCTGGTGCCCCTGAGCTTCCCTCGTCTGTGTTATCTCATCCTCTCTCCCGTCCCCCAGGCCTCAGCCACCCCTCCGGATGCTGGTGTTGCCGTCGCCCCCCTGCCCGCAGCCCCTGGCGCTTCCCTCCGCAGAGGCCATGGAGGCCGCTCCTTCTCGGACAGGCAGGTCCCCAGAGCCCGGACCTTCCTCCTCCACAGGACCTCCCCAGCCTTCCTCCCCTCCGAGGCCCAACCACTACCTGCTTATTGACACCCAGGGCATCCCGTACACCGTGCTGGTGGACCAGGAGTCTGAGAGAGAGCCCGGGGCAGATGGGGCTTCAGCTCAGAAAAAGTGCTACAGCTGCCCCGTGTGCTCCCGGGTCTTCGAGTACATGTCATACCTGCAGCGACACAGCATCACCCACTCGGAGGTGAAGCCCTTCGAGTGTGACACCTGTGGGAAGGCATTCAAGCGGGCCAGCCACCTGGCTCGGCACCACTCCATTCACCGGGCTGGTGGCGGGCGACCCCATGGCTGCCCGCTCTGCCCTCGACGCTTCCGTGAGGCCGGTGAGCTGGCCCAGCACAGCCGGGTCCACTCGGGGGAGCGCCCGTTTCAGTGCCCACACTGCCCGCGCCGATTTATGGAGCAGAACACCCTGCAGAAGCACACTCGGTGGAAGCATCCATGAGCCGGGCTGCCGGGTACCCCAGGTGCCATGGGGTTCTGGGGGGAGCCCGGACTCTTGTGGCCCTCAGACACGTGGCCAGTGCGGAAGGCTGAGTTGCAGCCCTGGACACAGACACAGACACACTTCCTGCAAAGGCCAAGCCCTGCCTGAAGGAGGAGCCCCTGAGTAGCCTTTGGATACTTTGGAGATAAAGGTGGAAAGGAGACCTTACCTTCCTAGGGTGGAGCCTCAGGCTGAGCCTGACCAGGTGCCCAGGAGACAGTGCTATGTGTGAAAATCCTCCAGCCTGAAAATCGTGGTTGGGAGCCATCAAGCATCTGCACCAGCTTCCTGACGCCCCCTTGTTGATGCTGGGGGAAGGGGCCCCAGACCTGCCTTGCACCCCCCAGCCAGGACTTGAGACTGGACACCCAATAAACACCTTTCCCATTTTGAGCACTTGAGATTTGTTTTTGGGCACAGCGGTTTGGCCTGCCTGCTGCCCAGCAGGGAGACTCAGCAAGTGCCTGGCCCACCTCTTCTTGGGCAGAAGAACAAATCGGCCATGTCTACTCTCCGGAGAGGGAAAGAGCTTCCCACTGCCTGACCTCAAATAACACTAACAGCGCCCTGGATCTTGAGCGCCGCCTGTGGCCAGGTGCTGGGCTGAGCATTTCACCTGGGTCATCCCAAGTGCATCCGCACAGTGCTTGGCTTGGCTGGCTGGGGATGGGAAGGTTGGCCTTCTGCACTGGGATCAGTCCTAGCTTGACCCCTCACAAAGGGTGTCATCTAGGTAGAGTGTTGTTAAACCTTTTTTTTCCTTAAAGCTAGGATCTCCTGTAAGAAACACATTTTATATGGCAACCCAGTAAACATACACAAAATATATGTGCAACAAAAGTTCAGCAGTACTTAAATCTCTGCCACATGCAATTAACTTTTTTCCTTTTTGCTAATTCCATTCTACTATATTGAATTCCCTGCCCATGAACCTGTAGTTTGCAAAATACCTATCTAGGGCAGGTAACTCCCCCTGGACGTTTTGACCCAGGCTACAGTTTATCTATGATGTGAAGCAGGTAGGAGAGGAGTGTGGCCACAGCTTTCTAAATGGTGCAGACCTTTAAATTCTCCTTCTGCAAGGTTACAGCCCTGCTCTCATAGAGCTGGCCAAAATTCCAGTAGCAAAAAAAAAAAAAAAAAAAAAAAAAAAGAAAGAAAAAGGAAATGAAAAGTCCAGTAGCAACTGGTGACTGGGAGGAGAGGCTGGGAGCCGAATAAACATCTGCCTTCTTAATGAATTTTCTTTGCGCGTCTGTTTTGTGCCAGGCACTGTGCTGGGCCTCATTTCTTCTTCCGACCTCTTTTTGGGTGGAAGAATAAATTAGCCATCTCCACTCCCCAGAGATGGAAAGAGCCTCCCACTGTCTGACCTCAAATAACACTAACAGCGCCCCGCTGTTGGGCCTAGACTATGGCCAGGCGCTGGGCTGAGCGTTTTGCCAGCACCATAGCAGTACATCCTCACAACGAACCTAAAAGGGATCATAATCTCCCCACTTTGCAGGTGAGTAAGCTGAGTGGGGTTTGGGGGAGGAGCGGCCAAGATTGGGTGGGAATGTTCCAAAACCAGCTCGTAATCACTACCACAGGGCTAGTGGTGGTGGTGTTCCAGATCCCCGCCCCCCTCCTCCCGGCCTGGGAACCGTGTGGTCGGGCTGTAATGGTGGTGCACACACGGTGGGAGAAGTGGCGGGTTGCGGGGATCCATATGGCCAGTTCCCAGGGTTTCGTTTAAAAGGATTCTCCCGGCAATTCAACTTTCCTGGTTGTCTCCTTCCCTTTCCCGGGCCCCACTCCGTGCGTCGCCATCCACTCCGGGGACCCCCGGAGCCTGCTGCTCTCCAGGAATTGGGAGTTTCTTGACGTTCCCTGCTCAGGCTTCGCGGAGGGCGGGGTAGCGCGACAAGGGGCCGTCGCGCAAGTGCAGCCCGGGCCTTTGCCGCAAACGGCGGGCCTCACCTGGGGCCGGAGACTCCCGCAGAAGCGCAACGACCCGCGGACCGAGCGAGCGCCGGCGTCCCTGCCCGCCCCTCCGACTCGCCACCCCGCCCCTACACTCGGGGCCTCTGCCGCCCCGCCCGCGGCGGGTGGGCGCTTCCCTCCACTCCCCGCGACACTTTGCAGACGCTCCCCGGCGCCGGGCATGGGCGCCGCCGCCGTCGGTCCCCTGGCCGGATTCCGCGCGCGGGTGGGTGAGCGCGGGGCCTGGCCCCTCCGACCCCGGGCACCTGCGGGCGGGGGGATGGTGGCCACATCAGCACCCGCGGCCTAGCGCATCTCCCGCTGGGACCCCCTGGCAACATCGCTCCCCCTCCCACCCGGGGGACAAAGGGCGGGGGCGGGGGCGCATCCCCACGCGTGACCTTCCCCCGCACTGCGCACGCGCCCCGCCCCCTCCACCACGGGGGAGGGGCCCTGTTCGCCCACACGAGTGCGGGGGAGGGGCGTGGGAAGGCGCTCGCGTGGGCCGGACCCCCACCCTATGCCTGGAAGTTGGGGCACGGTCTCCTCCCCCCCGCACCTCTCGCCTCTTTTGGTCCGGAGGTGACCCGTGATGAGGGTCCGACCCATTCGGGCCAGGATGTGTCCGCTCTGTCGACCCCGCGGGGAACCCACTCCTTCCCTCAGTAGCCCGGGGTCTGGGTCCCCAGCCCCCTCATTCCCTGGGAGCCCTGGAGTTTGAAACCCCGGGTGTCCCCGCTCGGTCCTGAGGGTATGGGTCCCCTCCTCCCTCAGACCCAGGAGTCCCAGCCTTCAGCACCCCCATTTCCCCAGCCCTAAGGAGTTGGGCCCCACCTCCCGCGGGATGTCCCTCCATCTGTGGCTGCCGTTTCTGTCCAGTGCCCCTGAGGCGCTTAGCTGCCCGGGTCCGCCGGAGGTCGCGCCATGAATGACCGAAACAGCCGGAGGAGGACACGTGAGGAAGCTGGGACCCTGCCCCGACCCTGGCCCCACTGCTGCCCTACCCATCCCTGCCCTTTCCTCCCCAGGGCTGCTGTGGTTGGGGGCTGGTCCGAGGCGCCTGGGGCCTTCCCTGGGGTGACCCCTGGCCTCTCCCCTCCAGTGAAGAAAGACGATGAGGCCTTCGAGATCTCCATCCCCTTCGATGAGACGCCCCACCTAGACCCACAGATCTTTTACAGTCTGAGCCCCTCTCGGGGAAACTTCGAGGGTGAGCTGGGGGGCAGGCTCGGAGGGACCCCAGGCAGCTGGGGTGCAGGGCCCTTGAGGCCTGGGGTGTGACCAAGCCTCCCCGCTGTCCCTAGAGCCTCCGGAAGCCGCGTCCCCGACTGTGGCCCTGATGAATGGGGTCAGGGCCCAGCTGCATATGGCCCTGGAAAGGAACTCCTGGCTACAGAAACGCATCGAGGACCTGGAGGAAGAGAGGGATTTCTTGCGTTGTCAGCTGGACAAGTTTATCTCATCTGCCCGCATGGATGCAGGTGAGGCGCCTGATGATCTAGTCCCTTGGCCCATACCCAGGCCCTGACACCCAGCTCCGGCCCTTCCTGGGGATATGGGACCCTCCTCACCTACACCCTTCCTTTTGGTGGCCCAGTGGGGACCTGGCATCGTTATCTCCTTCTTACTTCATGGTGGTCTCCAGGACCCCAAGCCCAGCTTCCTTCATGCTTGATTCCTGCTTCTGCTGATGGGCAAGACCCTGTGGCCATCCCTTGCCCCAGATAGTCAGGGCTTTCCTTTCCCAAAATTTAGCTCCAATTTTTGGAGAGTACACCTTCTGTTCCTTTCCTCATGATGTTCAGCTCCTGACTGGCTTCCTCGCAGGACCCCGTATTCCCCTGTGATTCACACCTGACACTTTGGGCAAGGGGTCTGGTCCCTCCCCCCCCCCCCCAACACCTGTGTTATTGAGGATCTCTCTGGTTTGGAACTCCCTGTGGCCTGGGTTGCTGATGGGAACCTATCCAGGATGTTTGGCCCAAGGGCCTCTGAATTTTCTTGGTGAGAACCCCAATACCGGATGTCCCCCCAGCCCACCTTGTGGTGGTGGCCCCTGCATCAGAGCCTCAGATGCTCACACTGTCCAGGTGAAGGTGGGTGCCTGACTTTCCCAGCGCACTAGACTCAGAGCCTGGGATTTCTCTCAGGGTCTGAAACCTCTTCCCCAACCAGGGTCTTGCTTCTTGGATTTCTAGAGTCTACTCTTCTGGAGGTCCCACAGAGACTCTCCTGAGGTCCTGTCTTGGTCCTCTCAGCTCCTCCTCCAGACTTCTTGCTGTCAAGTTGGAGTCAGAGGAGCATGAACCCATGCCCCACTCAAGATCTCTGCCCCCAAATCCAACCACCTGCACCGTACTCAGCCGTCTTGGTGGAGACTGCAACGTCTATATGCACTGTCTCTTTGGGGATTCCAGCCCTGGTTGAGGCCCCCCCCCCTCTCCTGTGGATCTGTGTGTGGTGTGACATCTGTCTCCACCTTGCAGATGGACTTCCTGCCTCCTCTCCCCTGTTCTGGAAGTTCACGTGTATGTGTCCCTCTCTCTCTACCTCTCTCCAGAGGACCACTGCCGGGTGAAGCCTGGGCCCAGGCGGGCTGAAGGGGATGGCCGGGGTGGGGCTGGGGGTGAGGCCTCAGACCCTGAGTCTGCGGCCTCCTCGCTCAGCGGAGCATCTGAAGAAGGCAGTGCCGTGGAGAGGAAGAGGCAGAAGCAGAAGGGAAGTGCTGGCCGGAGGCGCTTCGGGAAGCCCAAGGCCCGGGAGAGGCAGCGGGGTGAGCAAGGAGCAGGGATGGGGGGAGGGGCCTGCTGTGATGCCCCACGAGGCCCTCCCTTCTCCCCTAGCCTGGTCGTCCCTGCCTGCCCGTGGGGTCCTGCTCTGCGGTCCCTCCTCACCGGCTTTGCCTCCTGGGGTCACCCTGCCCTGAGCCTCAGGCTCCTCATCAGTAACATGGGGAGGGGAGAAGGCTCCTCCTTTTCCCCTGGCGCCACTGTCTCACCACGGCTCCCAGCTGCTCCTCATCCTGATTCCCATTTTGTTCTGCAGTTCTTCCTGTATTGGGCTCCCCATCTGCCCTTGCCCCATCTGCCTCCTGTGTCCGCCTCTGTCCCTCTCATGTCTGTCTCTGTGCCCCGGCCCGGCCCTGCAGTAAAGGATGCAGACGGTGTCCTGTGCCGATACAAGAAGATCCTGGGCACCTTCCAGAAGCTGAAGAGCATGTCTCGGGCCTTCGAGCACCACCGAGTAGATCGCAACACGGTGGCGCTGACCACACCCATCGCAGAGCTTCTCATCGTAGCCCCCGAGAAGCTGGCTGAGGTGGGCGAGTTCGACCCCTCCAAGGAGCGCCTGCTCGAGTACTCGCGCCGCTGCTTCCTGGCCCTGGACGACGAAACCCTTAAGAAGGTGCAGGCCCTCAAGAAGAGCAAGCTGCTGCTTCCCATCACCTACCGCTTCAAGCGGTGATTCTGCCCCACCTGGCCCGGGACACGCCCTTCGGCCCCCACGTCCCTCCCTCCTCTGCCCCTCGTGGCAGTGGCAAGCGTGTGCATGAGTGGTGTGCTCCTCCACAGGGCCTGGGGGGTGGGCGGCGTGTTTCTGCGTTCGCCTCCCCTCGTCCTGCAGATCCCCACTCCTGCCCCGGGTCCCTTGTGTATAGATCTGACTCCCTCCTTGCCTCTCACGTTCCTAGCATCCTCCCCTTCCTCTGCATCCCCTGGGGAGGAGTTCCAGTTAGCCAGTCTCCCAAGAGCTACTGCCCAGGGGGTGGGTGTCTGCGCTTTCCTGAACGTGGGCACTCCTCCCCCGTGAGCTGCACCGTCCTGCCCTCACCGGGCCCTTCCTCGTGGGGGAGGGGGTGGGAGGACTCCGAGACTCTCTGCGGGGCCGGGCCCTGTACATACCCCGTGTCAACCCTCAGCCCCGAGGAGAGGCTGGCCCACTCTGCCAGGAGCTCCCCATCCGCATCCCGGACTGCCCCGAGTCTACGTGAGAAAGAATTATTCAGAGAATTTAAATTAAAGAGAGAAGATACAATTTGGAATAAAGGAGGCCCGGTCTCTTCTTGGAGGGGGTGGCCGTTGCCTCGGAGACCGTGACGGGGGCTCCGGGGAGCTCCGAGGAGCGAGGAGCGGGCGGTCAGGCAGGAACCCGGAGGCTGGGGAGACAGGGTGTAATTAGCACCCCCGGAGGGAGGGCCGGGAGGAGCAGAAGCAGCTGTGCCCCAGGGAACTTGGAGGGGCAGAGCTCGGGAAGGGAGGCGTCAACACCACCCGCGGGCCTATCTCGACTAGAGGCGCTGGGGCAGGAGACGTGGACTCAACGACCGCTGGCAGGAGCGACCGCAGAAGGGGGAAACTGCACATCCGGGCGGAGGCTCCTGCGTCCGCCCGCCAGGAGGCGGTAGTGCTAGATTACTGCTTTCCGGAAGTGCCCCCTACGTTGCCTGCTGCGCCTGCGCTGCGGAAGGGGGCAAGTGCGCTGACGCGGTTGCCACAGCAACCAGGAGCGAGCGGCTTTGCTTAACGGCCTGGAGTTCGGTACCCTTCTCGGAGGAAGGGAAAGCCTCGCGCACGCGTGCTAGGGGCTCTGGAACCCACTTGCCTCCCGGAACAGTGAGAAACCTCGCCTCAGACTGATCTCTACGCAGGCGCAGAAGGCCATCTCGCTCCCCTCCTCTTCCACCTGCGCAGGCGCACAAAGCCGCGCTGGCAACCTCCGCAGCGGCCGCGCGCACCCTTCACCTCGCTGGCAGCTTTTGTCTCGCGCAACCTTCTGAGGCCCTCCGCGAGATCGGTCCTTCTTTTCCTCCACTCTCCCCACCCGGAGAGCCAGGTGCAGAGAGCCGGGACTCCGCCCTTTTTCTGTATCCCTTCTCCTGACCAACCTCGCTTCTGTCCTCCCTCCCTTTTCTCTTCCCGAAGCCGGAAGGAGCCGAAGCGCCGCCGGAAAAAACCGAAGCTGTCTCCCGGGAGTGAGGCCTTCCCGAAGTGGTGGCGGAAGGAGCCGAAGTTCTGCGGCCGGGGAGGAGCGAGTGAATGCAGTGTCCGGAAAGAGCCGAACCTTGGCATCGGATTTAATCCTCTGGCTGGGTCCGAGAGCGAGTGCTGGAAATCTACAGAAAGTGCAGAAGTTCCGCACGGTTAGGATTGATTGTCAGAAGTAGCTCGATAGGGTCAGCGGAGAAGAGCGGGGGAAATCTGCTGGAGCAGCCAAAGACTGGGACGGTTTGAATTGTCGGAAGAAGCCGAACCCTTGGGGTGGGGGGGCTGGGCGCAGAGGAACGCGCGGACCTACGGAAACACCCGAACGTTGAGGAGCTAGTTTCCGAAAAGTTACGATAGCCTGGGAAGCCGGTGAAATCCTCGCTTCGGGTGTTTCCGGAATCAGCCGAAGCAGCCGCTCCCGATTTCTTCTACGGTCCGGAAATAGCCGACGCTATTTGGAGCCAGGCTCGGGCAGGGGGGAGGGACACCTCGTGGGCGGGCGGGCGGGCGGGGTGAGGGGCGGAGCCGGGGCGGGGCGGGGCGGGCGGCCCGGGCTTGATTAGGTAGGAGGCGGCGGAGCGCCGGCGGCGGCCGGAAGTAGCCGAAGCGAGCGGCGGAAGTAGCCGAAGCGGCCAGAGCGGGCGGGCGGCAAGGCGAGGCCAGAGCTGCACAGGGCCCTTACGCGGCCGCCTCAGCATGTCGGACTTCGACGAGTTCGAGCGGCAGCTCAACGAAAATAAGCAAGGTGAGGGCGCTGGGGGCACGGGGCGGCGGGCGGGGCGGCTCCGGGCCTCTCTCCGTGTCCCCCGCCATTTTCCCCCCCCCTCTTCCCCCTCCTTTCAGGGCCGCGCTGCGCACCCCCCACCGCTCCGTGGCGCGCGCCTGGTTCACGTGACCACCCGGCGTGCCGCCGCGCGCGGGAGGGGAGGGGAGGAGAGAGGAGGGGGCGGCGGGCGCGGGTCCTGGACGCATGCGCGGCGCGCGCCGTTCTACACCCCACGTGGTCCGCGGCGGAGGCGGCGCGGACCCGCCGGGTGTTCCCTCGCGGACTCCCCATTCTTTTTTTTCCGTTCTTTTTTTTTTTTTTTTTTTTTTAAACTGAAAGATTACAGGTATCAGATCCCGCAAAGCCGCCTTTCTTTCCCGCTGCCCCGGCACTTCCGCTTCCGGCCGGGCCAGCGGCCCGGGTCTCCACGCCCCCTTTGTTCCAAAATGGCGGTTGCTAACCCTCTTCACGTGGGCCCCGGCTGGGTCCCCGCCCGGGTATCGGCAAGCGTGACGCGGTGTGGCTCGTGAGAGAGGACACGCGTGTGTCCTTCCGACACGGGACTTTTGGGAGTCCCGACGGTCGCGGGGTGTTTGCGTCTTGTCCCCTCCCAGCTAGAGAGCGGCCCCCGTGTCCGGTACAGTCTCAGGGCACAGATTAAGCCTCCTAAATCTGGTCGCCGTGGAGATGAGGGCGGGGGACGTTACCCCCGGTGGTACCGAGTCAGCAAGGCGTGGGGTCGTGCTGGTGCGAAGCAGCACAGGGGCTGCAAGAACGTCCGGACGACGACAGTCGTTAGGCGCTGCAAAAATTCGTCCTGTCTTTAGGTCGTTTTGAGAGCGAAGGTGGGGGGCTTAAGGCTGAAGCTGCCCGCGTTGGGAGGCCTGAACGGGGGGCGCAGCGAACCCTGTCCAGAAGTCGGTCGGGGGTGGCTGGCCTAGGAGACAGCGTCTGGGGAGAGCGCACATGGGGTGTCTGTTTCTACCTGATGTGGGCTTTGGAGTTGGGCGTTCCTGGGTTCGGACACCTCCTTTGTTGCCCAGCAGCTGTGCTGCCTCCGTATTTCTGTGTTAGTCTCGTCGGGGTTTGTACGTTGACTCTTTGTTTTGTCACTGCGATTTTGGAATTAACGAGGATGGTAGTAACAATTCTTGATAGTTAAACTCTGGGTGCTTGTCAAGTGCCAGGCACTTTGTTAAGCCCTTTGTAGTTTTTCTAAGTGGCTCCTTGTAATCGCCATGTGATGCTGATGATTTCCTTCCTTTTGCAGACGAGAAAAGTGGCTCAAAGAGTTTAAACGCTTCTCCCAGGTTTCAGCTGGTGAGAGGCAGAGCTGAGGTTAAATGGGGGTAACGTGTACGAACGTGTGGCGTGTGGCTTGGCATGTGTGAAGTGCCTAGTAAGTGACGCCTCTTCTATTGTGCAAACGTCCTTAGTGTAATACTGAGGAGAGAGGCGTATCTTCACTCTCCTAACTGGCACCGTCAGGGAAAGGTGTTTTTCAGATGTTTTCTGCCAGGTGCTCACGCACTTGGGGTAGGTACAACCTTTGTCTAAGGAAAGGTTGGGTTGTTTTTCCGGGGTTTTATACACGTTGGTGAGGCAAGAAGCTGAAACCCTCCTGAGTCTGGCTGGCTGCGAGGCCAAGTTGCAGTAGGCCGGGCTGCCAGGTGGAGCTGATTGAGTTCTTCCACGAGGTGCTGGCGCGTATGCTGCCTGGGTTCTCCCTGGGTGTCCCCACTGGCACTGGGAGGCCACGCTCGCAGCCCTGGCGTGTCCCTTGGGTTAGTGGAGCTGTTCCCACAATGTGCCCACAGCATTTTGAGCGGCGAAGCTCCTTTTCTCGTGTTGGAGGCAGGAAACTCTGTCCACGTGTTGCCTTGCCTGTGGATCTTTGTCTTTGTGGGCCGGCCTCTGAGCTTCAGCCCCTGCCTGTGTGTGCCGCACCTGTGGCTCCAGGGCATTAAGTTCCTTGTCTGATCTCAGCCGCCACCCCTGCAGACATCACCATTTCCTGTTGGTCCCTCTGCCTGCTTGTCTGTTTCAGAGCCTCAGCCGCAGGAAAAGTGCTTGGGGCTCACACCCTGCTCCTCTTACAAGCGTGAAGCCAGCGGTCCAAGGCCACAGCTCCTCCCTGTGCCCAGTGCCAGGCCTCCGTGTTTGTCTTCTACTTCGTGTTGCTTCCAGTCTTTTTTTTTTTTTTTTTTTACTTCTTTAGTTTTCAAGGAGATAATGATGTTGTCATTAGTGGCTCTAGGCAGACCCTAGTGAGTTCTGCCTGCTTTGTGTTAAGATGTGTGCCCAGGTGTTGATAACTGTACTTGCTGATGTTACGTTGTTCACATTCAGGCTTCGCTCTTCTGTTGCTTTTTGGCCACAGGCAAGTTACACGAGCTCCTTGTGCCTCGTTTTTCCTATTGAGCGGCCACAGTGTTTTCTCAAAGCAGTGGTGAGGATCGAGAGCAAGTGGGACTAAGTACGGAGCCTGCTCTCAGGAGCATTCTGGTGTTTGCTGCTGTGTGTTTTCTTCTGAGGTGCTTGGAAGGAGCACCTTTCCTGAGTGGTTCAGGAATTGAGACTCAATCTACGGGAAGTTCACATTTAATTGTCTGAAGAAGCGTATAGTATAAAGTAGTACGGGTGAGGCCAAAGTCCACTTTAACGCCCTGTCCTTATTGCCTCTTCCTTTTTCTGTCCCTGGACATGGGTAGTTGGGGAGTCCGGGGTGTCTTTGAACTAAGGATGAGGAAATATACTGTGACAGGGCCTGCACCTCCTTCCCAGGTGAGAGGTCTGTTGAGCAGAGGTGTCTGGTTTTACAGGCAAGGCTGTGCTCTGTTCTAGGCGCCACCTGAAAAGTATGAGCCAACTGGGGGCTGGACCCTGGTTTCTCTTGTACTGGCTTTGAGGGACGATGGGCAGGTAGGGGTGGTTTGGGATGCCAGCCTGCGAGGGGCACTGGGCCGGAGTGGGCAGGGCACACTCCTCCTGGCACCTCCTCTTTAGCCCAAATTCAGGAAGGGGCACCTCCCTAGAGGAGGAACTCTTGTATTCTTCACCTGGTTGGGAAGGGACTGTTGGGTGTCTTGGCTTTCTGGGGCTATCAGATCTCTGTCTGGTGCCTGGGGCCTGATGGTGGGGCTGTGGGTGCCAGCTGGTTGAGGAGGTCTTTCCTGAGGGGTCGCCAGTTTCCTTCATTCAGGAAAACATCATTGGGTCTCTTGATTCCCCAGCCTCTAGCCCTGCCCCTCTCAGGGACGACCCTGGGGTCAGGCCCCTCAGCCCTCGAGGGGGA